CCTAATTAGAGAAAAAGATCTGCGGTGTCAGTTGTAGAGATGTCTGTACCTGGTTTCTGTTCTCTCAGCGTGGGGCGGCAAAGGCCTTGCTGAAACCCCTGCTGTGTCTTAGTGGAGAAGTTGGAACGGAATCCAATCTGCTACATCCTTGCTTTGCCCCTTTTGGTCGGAGCTATCCAAACATGCTCCCAGTCACCCATTTCTGGAGGAGGCCAAACTGAAATCGAGTCTTTAAATGAGCTCTCCGATTCTGTAAGAATGCTGACTGCCTTTGCCTGTAAGTGGCCTTTTACTGGAGAGCGGGCTGTCCAGGTAGGACTAGTGTAGCTGCGGGTTTTTCGCTTGTGTTTAAACTAACGCCTCGGTTGCTCTTAGTTGTGCAGACGCTGGCTCATAACTCCACAGCCACACTGTCTGTGATCAAGGATTATCTTGTCAACAAGCTGCAGAAGCAGAGCCGCCAGATAGAGCAGGATGAGCAGAGAATTCAAAAATACCGAGAAGAAACTACAAGGATCCGCCGGGAGATTGAAGAGCTAAAAGCAAGGTGTGGGCCAGTGTGCTGTCTCGTCTTACGTGGGATAGAACTCTTGTTTTCTTTTATTAAGGAAAAATATACTTTGTCTTTCTTGCCCTTCTGCCTCCTCTCACTCTCTCAGTCCCAAGATCTTTCAGAAGACCAAGTGCAGCATTTGCACCAGCGCCCTGGAGCTGCCTTCAGTCCACTTCCTGTGCGGTCATTCCTTCCACCAGCACTGCTTTGAAAGCTACTCTGAGAGCGACTCCGAATGTCCTACTTGCATGCCAGAAAATCGCAAAGTGATGGACATGATCCGAGCCCAGGAGCAGAAGAGAGACCTGCACGACCAGTTTCAGCATCAGGTAGGGTAACATTGCCTGTCTTAGCAAGTTTAAATAAATAGGGTTTAGATTGGTTTACAGATCAGGGTAAGGCTGAACGTATTTTGTAAATGAGGTCATGTTGATTGCAAATAATGAGGCATTAGGCCCTAGGGTGACTGCGTTATGTACGGGGCATGAAGAGTCCCCGATGCTCTCCAAAGATGAAAGAGGGGCTATTCTCAACCAGGGCCTGAAATGGAGCGAGACCTATCGGTCAGCGTGACAGCTGGTTGACAGGTTGTATAGAACAAATGAGGGAGAAAGGAAAAAAAAAAAGGTGTGTGGATTGGGACGGGGACGGGACGGTGCAGTTGGGGTAGACCAAAAGTGTTGCGTCTGCATCGTGTTTCCCAGGGGTGAAGCGGCGCGGTTGAGAAGGGGGTCTTTAGCTAGAACATGTTAACGTACGCGGAAACTAGAGTAGCTGAGGCAGTCGCTTTCCTGCTTAAGAGAATTGTTGTTTACCTCTTTGGTGCGTGGCTCAAATGGAGGATTGAAACAAGAGGTGGAACGGCCAGCGGCAGAAAACCTTAGCAGAGGAAAGCCGCTACTGCGGCACTTGCATTGAACTAGCAGAATAGCTGAGGAGCGGCTTGGGCTGCCGCGTCTCCAGTAAAGGGGCTGTAAGTGCAGGGGGCGAAAGGAAAGGGGCTGGAGGCAAGAGGCTCTGGAGGCTTTTACTGATGCTGCTGCTTTGCGTCCGGCAGCTCAAGTGTTCCAACGATGGCTTCTCCGTTGTTGCCGACTACTTTGGTCGAGGCGTCTTCAATAAGCTCACCCTCATCACCGACTTGCCCTCGGGAAAGGCGGCTGCGACTATTGAGGCTGGCCTGCAGCGGGAGCTGCTCATCCACACCAAGCGCAGTACCTGACCCTGCGCCGCCCTCCCGCCTTGGACGGGCTTCCCCCGTGTGGCCTCGGGCAACCTGTACGCGGGCTTCACCCTGACCTGGCCTTCAGCCCCTCAATAAACCGGACCAGCTGGCCACTGCGCCGCGTGTGCCGGGCCTCCGGGAGGGGCGGGGCGGGGCGGGGCGGGCCTCCGGGCTTCCTCCCCGCCGTGGCCGCCCGTCGGTGGCGTCG